TTTCTCTCTCTCTCTCTCTCCCTCTCTCTCTCTCTCTCCCTCTCTCTCTCGAGACTTTCCATTTGTAAACCAGTGTACAAAGGATGGGTAGTAATCATCTTATATGATACACACTTTTTTTTTTTTATGGTATTTGTTTTTCTGTTTGTCGTTTGCAATGTACACTCCTCCAAAACATGGGAGTCGACAGGTGCGTTGCGAAATCAGAAAAATGTGAGATACATGACAAAAAAGGTAACGCACTTGCCGACCTTTGCAGCATCGAAGAGGAAAACGGTGCCACGAGAGGAACTATTGCAACAATATAGAGATAGTGACAAATAGGCAAGGATTGGGAACTGGGGGGCGAGGGGAAAGGAAGGCGAAGGGGGGATAGGAGGCAGAAATGTTTGCCGTGCTTTGACACAGACGTGGCGACATCACCCCCGAAGCATGCCTGTTCCTTGGCACGTGGGAGAAAAACGCACTGTTGCCATTACATAACCATGGAGAAAAATAAAATGTACATRGTCATGTTTTTTAGGAAAATGAGAGAAAGTGGGCAGCAATGACAACAGAGACACACACAACAACACAATGGGGTTTAAAGTTCGAAAGATATTTTTTTTTTGGTAATTTGTTTTAAAGTTGGACAAGTGTATTGTGTTTATAAACGGTTGAGACCATTGGTAAACAGATTTTAAACTGATTTTCAACACAAGATCAACGGATTATAAACAACTGATCTGATGCCATCCCCTGGAATCATCGTTGCATCAAGAAAGATTTCCATGGTTTTCCATGTGTTCATTAAGAAAACCCTCATTAAATCTGTTTATAATCTGTTAAAATTCAGATTAAATTAGTACTTCTCCCTGAAAATTTTTGTTGTTTTCAAGCTGTATTTTTTCTGTTGGAGAGGGATGTTTGGAGGGAGTCGACGGTGGCCTTCATGGTGGTCATGAGGGAAGATAGGGTGGAAGAGTCAGAGGGGGTCTCTTGGGCGGCAACCCATTTGCCAGTAATTTCACAACGGAGGCTATCGACGGACTGGGTGTTGATGGAGGGCAGGTGTGAACATGTGACCTTGAGTACTTTGCTGCTCTGACTATTATCAGCATAGGACGGAGTCCGGGCCCATTTGAACTATGGAAAATAAAGTCCACCCAATTGTGGGCCTGCGACGATAATGAAGGGGTGCCTGCGACATCAGCCTCCCCAACGCCGAACTAAAGTGCACAAACGAATGATGGCCTGACGCCATAGAAACGGACTTTTCGGCCTCAAATGCGGACGAAGCAACATCTCTGACACTAAATAACAACCCCCGCAGAGGGGAAACATAGTGATTGTCCACGGTGCTCTTCCCACCAAAATATCTTGAAAGTGTTGCACGGTGTTGTTTCCTACAACTACACGATGACAGCGGGACCAGGGGCCAAGTCCCACTAACGGAGGGAGCCTCCGTTGTGTG